ACAGAGCGGGCTTGGTCAGAAGTGCTTGAGTTCTGGTCACTAAACAATAAACTGTTGACAATAAACTGTTACAAGGAACTGTGAGCAAAATAAACCCTTTCTTCCCCAAGATACTCTTTTGTCATAGTGTTTCATCCCAGTACTAGAAACACTAACTAAGACACCCAGTGACCCACTTTATACAGCTATTAAAGAGTGGAGGGACATTTCAGCTTCCCTCTAACTGAAAAGCGGCTTGATCAGGTTCTGGGTACCGTTTTTATTATTTACCGTACCATTATTTACCAAACCATTATTTAATTAGGAAGTTGTAAGCTTAATGTTGTTTTTTGTCAGAAAGCTCAGAAGCTGGATTCTGTCCAGTGAGGTAAAGCTGAGCAAGCAGGTTGACTTCTGTAGTTCAGTCTTCTTACCTAGAAAATGAGATAACAATGCATAGATTACCCAGGACGTAGAGTTTTAAGACCAAAATGTAATGGCAAAGGCTTTTATAACTTCCGTACGAAGATAACAAACTGCTGGTGTCTTTTCTGGTCATCACTTTCCTGGGTCACACCAGCTGTGCTCAGATTACAGCCCCGATGCTTACTCGATATCTGTGTTACCCCGGAGACCCCACACCCATGCTCCAATTCCTCTTCCGGACGAATAAAACCCTGAAAAATACCAGCCACAGAGGGCAGTAGTGTATCATGCTTAGTACAGAGTGATACCAGAGAAATTGGGGTCCCTTCTTGGGGCTCTCGGTTTAGTTAATAAAAGGATTTAAGAACAGATTCATAGAAGAGCTTAAGGCCGATTTTATTAGAGTTTAATATAAATACCCAAGAAAAGCAAGCTGTAAACCCCAACAGCTACCTGGAAGAGGTTAAAGAAGAGGGAGAGAAAAAGTCATGCCACACAGACTGTACGGAGATGAGCCCCATGGAGGGCAAGCAGCCACGCGGCAGAGATGGGAGCGTTAGAGCAAGAGTAAGGAAGCTCACAGCCCCAGCAAAAGCACGCCTGAGCTCTGGCCAGCATCCAAGGGGAAGACAGAAGAGAAGACAAAAGACAGGTGGCGCCTTTCTGAGAGCCAGGACTAAGGAAAAGCAGGTGGACACAAAGAGCGAGGGGATTCAGGACAGGAAAAGTACAGTATCTCACTGTATTTACCTCTAACACAGCTTACGGTGGGCCTGCCTTCCTGAGGGTTGGACCCTTGGCTAAAGGATTGACCTGCCCAACTGGATTAACTTCTGTTTGTTTGTGTCTGAGATAGGATCTCAGTATGTAGCCCAGGCTTGCCTGGAAGTGACTAAGTGGACCAGGCTGGCCTGGAACTTGAAGTGATCCTACTGCCTTTGCCTTCCGAGTGCTGGAATTAAAGACCTTTGAAGTCACCCCTGACTCTGGATTAAGTCTTTTCCCCTTGGGACATTTACTTATGTGTGTCTGTGTGGATATACCTACCGAGGCCAAAAGTGGTATAAAGTCCCCTGAAGTTGGAGTTATATACAGGCAGTTGTGAATCACCTGATGTTGGTGCTGAGAACTAGACTCCAGCCCTCCAAAGAGCAGCAAGCATTCCAAACCACCTCCCCGACACATTGGATTAACTCTTAAAGACAGGAGACAGTAAGTGGTGTTGGTGATCAGCTTTCATCCAGGCACTAGGGAGGCAGATCCCTGAGTTCAAGGCCAGTCTGGTTTACAGAGCAAGTCCTAGGACAGCCAGGGCACCATCTCGGAAAAACCATCCACCCATAAGGTGGACGACTGGATAAATGGTTAAGAGCACTGTTCTTCCAGAGGACCCAGGCTCAATCCCAACAACCACGTGGCAGCTTACACTCATGCCTAACTCCAGCTCCAGAGGATTCAACACTCTCACATACATGCATCTAGGCAAAACACCAATGTACATAAAATAAAAAATTTAAAATCATTAAAAACAATCAGGAAACAATGGCATGTGTCCACCTAGAGGCGGATTCTATTTTTTCCTATAACAATAGGAAAGTGCTCAGAACATTTTATTTATTGAGACAGGGTGTAGCCAGGCTGGCCTCCAAAACTATATACCCAAGATGAGCTTCAACCTCAGATCCTCCTGCCTCCCCAGGGCTGGGATCACAGGCCTGTGCTGCCAACACTTGTATTTTTATGAGGTGTTGGAGATGGAATGTGGGAAAAAACGTGAGGGGGGGGCCCAAGCAGCGGTGACCCGCGGGGTGGGGGGAGAGGGCGGCTGGTGGAGTCCCGGGAGGCTTTCCACACAGGCAGGTCCCACATACTGGAGAGAATCTGAAGTTTCAAAGGCTGGAAGCTTTGGCTACGGCAGGCCCCAATGATACGAGAAGTCCAATGTTCCAAGAAGTTTATTGTTCATGGTGTGGTAGTTGGGTCTGGCTGTGCGTGCCCCTGTAAAAGCCAGGAGGAAGAGCTGGCTTAAATAGGGGAAGGGGAAAGAGGAGGGACTGGGAAAGAATAACTTAATGGAGCTACGCCCCCTGGCCTTTAGGAAACTCATGAATATGGAAATCTCTTTTAGTCACGCCCTCTACCTGTAGGTGTGACGCAAACTTCTCTGGGAGGAGCTATTCTGAGCCAAACGAGTCTGCAAGGTGCAGGCTAACTAGGTTGTAGGCTGTATGTAGAAGTCTGGAATCTGGGGACGTGGGGAGATACGTGCCGTCCCTCACATGCCATAGTAACCTGTTGAGTCTCAGGCTATCTCAAACCCAGTGCTCTACCGGGGAGACCAAATCATCCCTTCACGGCCCTACAATGGAACCTGAGGCTTCACGAGTCAATACTAGGCAAGAACTCTACCAATGAGCCACATCCTCAGGCCCCTCCACGCCATGTAAGAAGTTTATACACACACACACACACACACACACACACACTCTCTCTCTCTCTCTCTCTCTCTCTCTTGACTATAGGACCTCAAAGAGGTCAGTGTTTTAGAATTTTTTTTCAACACCAATGTTATTTACTGGACATTGATTTTGCTTTGTCTTAAACGTTGAAAGCACCTCCTGGTACCCTATACCAGTCTTTCCAATCTGATCATGCCAAGGGACAGCTAGGCTGGAGGTCAGGGGACCAAGGACAGCCATGTGTGCACTAACCCAAGCCAAGTAACTCCATTTCTGGATGCTATGGTTCTTGACGTGGCTTTACTTCTTTGTTCCCTCTCTGTTCTACAGGAGACAGCAACAACGAGTTTTTCAACCACAAAGTATGGTTTTCTTCTACCTACAGCCATGGGATGCCCTATCTGGATTCTACTGGTGACATACTTCTACCTACAGCCATGGGATGCCCTATCTGGATTCTACTGGTGACATACTTGAGTTGAGAGCAATCTCCGAGTTCTCATGACTGCCACTGCGCCTTGGGAGGAGTTGGCTCCTGTGAGTCGGCCTTTTCACAGGGACTCCTTCTTGTCAAGCAGACCTCAACTGGGCCGTACCTCCTAAGGAGTGTTTCTGTCCATTTTCCACTACACAGTGTCCTTCGTCACCACACAGTATTTATGTGGTCATGCCTCTCCTGTCTGTCCTGGCCTTTAGTCAGCAACACTTACAAGAACTTGCTGGGTGCCAGGCTGTGGTGGCGCATGCCTTTAATCCCAGCACTTGGGAGGCAGAGACAGGCGGATTTCTGAGTTCGAGGCCAGCCTGGTCTACAGAGTGAGTTCCAGGACAGCCAGGGATACACAGAGAAACCCTGTCTCGAAAAAAAAAAAACAAAACAAAACTTGCTGGGTTAACAGTTACTAGATAAATGGCTTGGTGTCTACTTCTGCCTAGTCTTATTCTTGTGACAAGCTACTTGAGACGCTTCGTGGTGAAAGTAGAACCGGGAACGCCTCTCACAAACGCATTCATGGCCTCTCTCAGCTTCTATCCTTGAGAAGCAGTCATTGCTCCTTTGACAGAGAGCAAACACCTATCCACCTGCAGAATAACGCTCATGTCCCCGAGGTCAACAGCTGCCTACATTAGAGGTCAGAAGAGCCCACGGAGAAAGGAGATCAGGGTGCTGCACTGAGCTGGCGCAGGCAGTAAGCACGCACACGTTGACTTCAAGCAACACATTTAGAAGGAAAAACAGGTGTCACATGTCACCAGGCTCCCTTTATAAGAGTCTGTCTTCCTCTCCTCCCCTAAATCTACACTGTGCGGTGTCTTCAAGCATATCTGTAATTGCTGGTAATGTTTATCCTCTATTTCTTCAACATGGTTTAAACATGGGACCTCGCAAATCTGTGAATACAGCATATGCAAGCCACACCCCAGCCTGTTTATAACCTTTTTTCTTCTGCTTTCTCCCCGAGGCAGGGTTTTCTGAAAAAATTTTCAATCGTTTTACTCCAAGCTGATTTTAGATATCAACAGTGACTACTGAATTCTGCCCCAGTGTGAAGGAAACATGATGATGGCATTTTCAGCTGTTGGCAGACTTTGGTTTTAGTACTGTGAGCTCTGGAATTAGTGAGACAGAAAGACAACTCTGACTCCCACCACCTTACAGAACAGGCTGGGGGCGTGGCTCTGATACAGCATGCTAGGGGTCCTGGGTTCAATCCTCAACAACCACATCCACCTCCAGTCCATGTTTGGTGATAATCCATCTCCTCAAACTCGAAGAACCATGAGGATTCGAGGCTGCAGAGTAATCCTTCACTTATCTAGAATTATGTACGTTCTTACAACCTTAAATCAATGAAGTATCTGTTCTCCTAGAGGAGGACACTCTACACTCAGCATTCAACAGGCATTTCCCTAGAAGATGCAAGATAAAGATCAAAGGTGTAACTAGCCTTAATGCTAAGGTGTATTTGAAAGTTCTGAAAATGTTAATGTTGTAAAGTCTGAATTTTACAAAGCTGGATATCCCAAACTATCACTCGTTTGTTTTATACTCCACTTGAGTCAGCATACTCTTTATTTCAAAATAACATTTTTATTATATAAAAATGTAAAAAAAAAATCCAGCAAAACCAGAAATACGGATATATTTTCTTGGGCTTTCACATTGGTTGATTTTTATTTGCATTTCATTTTCAGTACAATTTACAACATTGTCCCCGTTCCAGTCTGATTAAACACATGCTAGGTGACAGATAGGTTCTGGAATAAATACATTAAAAAAGAGGAAAAGCTGTGAAACTAAGTGGCACGCAGTAGGTGCTATGGGGGGGGGAGTGTCTGAGAAACTAAGTGGCACACAGTAGGTCCTATGGGGGAAAATGTCTGAGAAACTAAGAAGTGGCACGCAGTAGGTCCTATGGGGTGTGTGTTTCTGAGACACGAAGTGAGTGAAACAATGCAACAGGAGTGTCAACCGCAGCTCTTCAGTCATCTTTGTCTTTTGCCCCGTGCTTGAGGATGCGTGTGAACTCAATGTAGTTGAAATTCCCCTTCTTGTCAATGGGGGCCTCCCTGTACAGCTCATCCACTTCCTCGTCTGTGAAGCGGTCGCCCATGGTGGTCAGCAGCTCCCTCAGGTAATCCTCCTGGATGGTGCCTGGAGGGCGACAAAGGGCGGGCTCATGGCACAACTCCACAAACCCTCAGCGTCAGGACTCAGCACTCTACCACACGCCGCTGCTTCCCAGCCACTCCAGAGCATTTTATTGATTTTTGAGAGTGTCAAAACGGACAGATGGCTCAGTGGTTAAGAGCACAGGCTGCTCTCCTCAAGAACCTGGGGTTCGACTCCCAGCACCCACAAAGAGTCTCACAACCAGTTGTAACTTCAGTCCCAAAGGTCTTATGCCCCTCTTCTGACCCCTGAAGGCACCAGGTGTGCATGTGGTACACACACACACACACAGCCATAATATTTATACACAGAAAAGAGAAACAAAACTTGGTAAACACTACAGTATAGAAACACAAAGTCAAGTGAAAATTAAGAGGTGGCTGCCCAGAATAGGAGGCAGTGTCACCCAGAGCCAGTGTAGGGACAGCCCCAGAACAGGAGGCAGTGTCACCCAGAGCCAGTTCAGGGACAGCCCTAGAACAGGAGGCAGTGTCACCCAGAGTCAGTTCAGGGACAGCTGTGTACCAGGACCGAGGGAGGGAGAGACCAAGGTGACGAGTGACAACCAGCAGCAGGTTAGTGCGGGAGAAATGACTGAAGATGGAAGGGATGAGGAGAGGAAGGTGAGACTGGGAAGGCTTCTCACACTGAAATGTGCTTCTCCAGAGGGGCAGGAAAACGGAGACAAACACAGAGCAAACCCCCAGGTAGCCCAGAGAGACAGAACAGTTCAAGTGTTCACACTATATATAAACCATGCTTTCCAGGTAAGCCAGGGGTCTCAGAAAGGACAGCTTTTGTTGTCCAGGACTATCGAACGGACCCTAAACATATATGATTTTGTTAGGAAGCTTGAAAGGTGAACAAGATAGGGAACTGTTTCATGACCTACAACAGATCTATGGCCAGGCCATTTCTGGTTCTACTGTCATATTTTAAAATAACAGGATTGGTTAGTTTGCTTATGTGTGTGTGTGTATTTTACACATTAAAAAATGTCTTAAAATATGTTCCATGTACTCTAAAGTGAGTATGGACGGACACACACACACACACACACACACACACACACACGCACACACACGCAGCACTCACTACCTGTGGCTTCCTCGTCGAAGCAAGCGAAGGCGTTTCTGATGACGTCCTCGGGGTCGGTGCCGTTCAGCTTCTCTCCAAACATGGTGAGGAACATGGTGAAATTGATGGGGCCCGGGGCCTCGTTCATCATGGCGTCCAGGTAGGCATCGGTGGGGTTCTTCCCTGTGAGGGTACACATTGGAACAAAGGAAAAACCCACTTAGGCTGGCATCAGTCAGCTACTGTTATGCTGCCACACATACTTTTAAAGGTTTTTTTATTACATGTATATGTACATGTAATATTCATGGTATCACATGTGTGGAGGTCTGAGGACAACTTTCAGGAGTTGGTTCTCTGCTTCCGCAGGGTTCTGGGGATCAAACCTCTCTGGCTTAAGGCAAAAGCACTTTTCTGTGCTGAACCATCTTCTCGGATTCTTCATCTCTTTTCATTAAAACAAAATAAAACAAAACGAAACAAACAACAACAACAAAACCCCAAACTCTCAAACGTTGACAGGAAACACTGCAATAAACACTGAATATTGATTCTACATTGGTTCATCAAGGGTTGTCTCAATACCAGCCACTAAAAAGAAAAATCAGCGTTGATGTTTCTAATCATGATACAGTTGCCTGTGGATTGGTATATTTCAAAACTATTGCTAAGCTGATCACCTGAGTTAAAACTATTAGGTCAGCTTGGGACTGGCAGCTTTTAATGATACTACAGAAAGCACTATCAGCCTAAGTGCAACTCTCCTGCCTCATCCTCCTGATTCACTCTCCTGCATGATGATGGATGAGCCACCGGGCCAGACTTGAACTGGAGCGCTCACAGTAAAAAGAAACCTTGATTTCAGTTCCGATCGAAACAAATCTTAGGACATCAGCCAGAGAATCCCCTGACAGTGAGGGGAGACATCTACAGAGCTCTCCACAGGAAAGGTCTTGTGGAAGGGGTTCGAAAATCAGTTCACCTACTGGCTGGGAGAAGACCTGGAACTGAAACCCAGTACTCCAAACACCAAGTTTAGTACCAACTGCCCTAAACAGCCTCCTGTGAAAAGCACTGGCTGATGTCAGTGTCTCAAAGTCCCCTTCAGACACGAAGTTGACACATACGAAAAGGATGTGTTGACTGCATTTTCAGAGCTAAGGAAACATCTCAAGAATTACACCAGACTGAAATGGCAGGCCCAGCCAGGCGGTGGTGGCGCACGCCTTTAATCCCAGCACTTGGGAGGCAGAGACAGGCGGATTTCTGAGTTCGAGGCCAGCCTGGTCTACAGAGTGAGTTCCAGGACAGCCAGGGCTATACAGAGAAACCCTGTCTCGAAAAAACCAAAAAAGAAAAAAAAAGAAGAAATGGCAGGCCCATCCAGAATCTGGGTGAAATTTAAATGACACAGGAGTGGCTATTCCACCCATGACACCTGTTCAACTCGACTGTACCAAGGGAGCCACCAAGCAAGTGAAAACAGGTAAAAAGGCCACTTTCCTATGTGCAGATCTCACCCCACTCTCACAGTACTCCGGGATAGAGGGCAGGGGATGACTGTGACCTAAAGATTCAAGAGAGTTCTGAGTGAAACAGGAATCTAAAAATGGATGTGTGTGTGTGTGTGTGTGTGTGTGTGTGTGTGTGTAGTGGCAGCAGTGTGAGTGTGCCAGGCCTCTCCATCCTGGGGCCCACACTGAGGTCACCAGGCTTGGCAGCATGCACTTTTACCTGCCAAAGCATCTTGTCAGCTCCTTTCATGGTTTTTAGAAAAAATTAAATTAATTTCTCTCCCTCCTCCCCCTCTCTTCTATAAAAAGGGCTTTATTATGGACGTCTCTCTTTCTGGGGTCCATTTTGAGTAACACCGCCCTTCCTTCCCAGCCAGCCAGCCATTGTTAGCTTTGAGTGGTATCTCTTTGTTCACCACCTGCCCTCCACCCACAGGATATTGCCCACTGTATATTATTAACTGCAATTGTTACTCAACTTCTGATCTCTTGTACCTAGCCAACATCTTCTCTCTCTCTCTCTCTCTCTCTCTGTCTCTCCTCTCTCTCTCTCTCTCTCACACACACACACACACACACACACACACACACATGAATGGCTTTCAGGCTCATGCAGACACAATCTACTTAGCTAACAGGAACAGTACCTTCCTAGTTCCCACTGTGCAGTAGATCCCTGCTCTTTATCAGGGCCCCACCCACACCTGAGAGCTTCTCATAGGTTAAAGCACAGAACAGATAATAATAATCCAGAGATGGACTGTCACAGGGAACATTCACATAAAGGGAAAATGCACATAAAGGCTACCCAGAGACGCCAGCATGTCGTGCAGGTCCTCCTTGTCAATGAAGCCATCCCGGTTCTGGTCGATCATGTTGAAGGCCTCTTTGAACTCTTGGATCTGGGATTGGTCAAACATGGCGAACACATTGGAAGTTGCGCGCTGAGGGCGCTTCTTGGTGGTCTTGGTCTTTGCTTTTTTGCTCGACATGGTGGCGGTTCAAACCTGAGAACAAACAAAAACAGTGCATAACACGTAAAGCAAGAAGGGTATACACACACCTAAAATAAATAAATACATAGATAAAAAAATCTTTCTCTTTCTTTTTTATAACAGGGGTTTCATTGCATAACCCCCGGCTGGCCTGGAATTCCTGTTTCTGGTTCTCAAGTGCTGGGATTAAAGTTGTGTGCCGAGCTAGAGTAAAAATAGCTTAATAAGGAAATTTGCTTCTAGAGGGTAAGAGTAAGTACATCCAAGCTTTATTTTCAGTGTGACAGTTAGAGCAGATTTTAAATAACAGAATTTATCTATGAACTTTCCGTCACCTTCCACAAGACTTAATTTCTTTGTTTTGTTTTTGAGACAGGGTTTCCTCTACGTAGTAACCCTGTATATCCTGGAACTCACTCTGCCTGTGAGTGTTGGGCCTAAAGGTGTGGGCCACCACCTCCTAGCAAGACCAATTTAAGATTTAGTTTTTATGGCCGGGCGGTGGTGACACACGCCTTTAATCCCAGCACTTGGGAGGCAGAGACAGGTGGATCTCTGAGTTCGAGGCTAGCCTGGTCTACAGAGTGAGTTCCAGGACAGCCAGGGCTACACAGAGAAACCCTGTCTCGAAAAACCAAAAAAAAAAAAAAGATTTAGCTTTTATTTTTAATTATGTGTGTATGTCTGTGTGTGGGTATGTGCACATGAAGGCAGGTGCCCAGAGGCCAGAGGAGGGTGCTGGAGCTGTGGAGCTGCAGTTACAGGCAACTGTAAAAGCTCCCAAGACTAATTTTTATCCATTGGGAGTTTATAGAAATATATAAAATATCATACTGCACGGTGAGAACTGAGTGGATACTCTAGACAGGACTAGGGTAGTCAGATACGGTTCTCACCTTTAAAATACCCCCATTTGCCAATTTCTGAATTTCATCATCCTCCCGATCATTCCCAGAGACTCCCTAAGTGGCTTGGGTGTTACCCTCCACTCCGCTGACAGCCATCAGCAATTTCAGTGGCAAACAGTGCATTTTATTATTTTTTTTAACCCCCCAACCCTTTAAGAACAACAGGGCCTCATGTAGTTCAGGCTGGCCTTGAATTCATCATAAGGTAGGTTATCACAGATGACCAGAAACTCTTGGTCCTCTTACCTGTCTTTTGAGTGCTGGGATTATAGGCATGGTACATGCCCTGGCTGCATTTTAAACAATATCAGTACATGCATGATAATGTCTTGGTTGATGACAGATAATATATACAATGGTGTATACCACACGGCCTGGTCCGCAGCAAGCTATTGTATCTGTTTTTTGTGTAACTAACTGTATGCTGTAGGCAGAGAAATGAGACCACCTAACAATGCCGTTCTCAGAATCTGTCCCCATTACTAGACAGAGCACCAATGCGAATAGAACACAATATTGTCAGCTTTGGAGTTAGAGGCCAAGTTAAAATCGAAGTCACAGATGATATCATTCGAAATCTCACAAATATCAGGCCTGGTTTTTGTTTTGTTTTTTAACAAATATGCTTGAGCTTTTATTACTTTTATGTGTGTGTTTGTCTTTAAGTATGTCTGTACACATGTGTGCAGTGCCAATGGAGACCAGAAGAGGGTGCTGGATCCTCTGGGACTGGAGTTACAGATGGATATAGGTCTCCAGGTACTGCTGGGAGGGGTGCTGCTTACTGGCTTGCTTATCATACTTGCTCGTCTTGCTTTCTTATAGAACCCACGGATGGCCCCACCCACCATGGGCTGGGCCCTCCCACATCAATCATAATTAAGAAAACGTCCTACAGGCTTCCCCACAACCTTATCTTATGGAGGCATTTCTCAATTGAGGTTTCCCTCCTCTCTGATGACTATAGCTTATGCCAACTTTAATAAAACTCACCAAAATAGGTTTAAAACCTGCTTCTCATGCATGTTAGAGTAGGCTCTCCCAGTGAGCTACACCCCCGGTGTCAACTGACTTTAACGCTTTACATCCTGGAACTGACAGATAAGAGGTTTTCTCTCGTGTGAGAGATACTCGTTTTATTTCAAGATTTAATAGGTATTAGTAGTCTGAAGGCACAGGTAAGTTCTATCAGCCGACCACTTTTCAAACACACTGAAGAGTAGCATGTTACTTAACAAATAACTTGTCAGTTGTATCATGCTGAGTGTTAAATCAAAAACTCCTACGTTAAACATTCCTGAGGTTTAATTAAGAGTTCTTCAAGGTGGCGCACGCCTTTAATCCCAGCACTTGGGAGGCAGAGGCAGGTGGATTTCTGAGTTCGAGACCAGCCTGGTCTACAGAGTGAGTTCCAGAACAGCCAGGGCTACACAGAGAAACCTTGTCTTGAAAAAACCGTAAGAGATCTTCAAGAAGTCAATGACGAGATTACGCCAAATACAAATACAAGGATTTGGTTAGGGAGCGTGGCTAGTGAGAAAGAACAGGGTGTGGGGGTAGGGGGACAGCGCCACAAAGCCTCAGCTGGTGCAGCAGCCTGGTTCCTGAATGAGGGGAAAGGGGAAGGGGGATGCTGGATGAGAACACAATCACTCACCAGCCTTTATCAAAGCACGAGGCAGAGCAGGCGGCTGACTGGAACAACGGCACTCCAGCTTGAGTGGTTTTGGCACAACGCTCTCTCCAGAAACCCCCGCACCTACTTCCCAAGTGTGTGCTGATAGTTTCCTGAGCACTCCCCCCTTAATGGGTGTCTCTGATAAAGGTGTCTGTGTACGAATGTATCTGGAGGTGCAGAGGCCGACAGTGGGTGTCTCCCTCGGTCGCTTTCCACTCTGTTCTTAAGATTTATTTATATATTTAGTATGTGTACAGCATTCTGCCTTCGTGTGTGTCTGCAGGCCAGAAGAGGGCACCAGATCTCATTACAGATAGGTGTGAGCCACCATATCGTTTCTGGGAATTGAACTCAGGACCTCTGGAAGAACAGACAGTGCTCTTAACCTCTCAGCCAGTCCCCATTACTCCAATTTTTGAGGCAGGTTCTCTTGTTGCACCTGGGGAGCTCACCAACTGGCTGGGGACCAATGGGCTCCTGCTCCTCCGCCAGCCCAGCACTGGGATTTTAGGTGCACTTATGTGCCAGCTTTCTATGTGGGTGCTAGGATCTGAACGCAGAGACTCACCATTGCATGGCCAAGCACTTTACTGACTGGGTCATTTACCCAGCCCTAAAATGGTTTCTTAAGAAATCCAACTTTGGGTCGAGCATGACGGTGTACACCTTTAATCCAAGCATGTTCTGAAGAGTGAGTTCTAGGACAACTGGAGAACATAGCAAGGTCCCGTCTCAAACAACAACAAAAAAAGAAACCCAACTTTGTTAGACACACACACACACACACACACACACACACACACACGTTGTTTAGGGCCTTACTATGTTTGTAGCCCAGCTGGTCTTTGATTTACGATCCTCTTGCTTCTGTTTCCTAAGTGTTGGGAGTTTAAGATTTTTAGGGTTGGGGATACACTCAGTGGTAGAGTACTTGTCTGTATGTTCAAGGTCCTGGGTTCCATCTCCAGAAGCACAAAACCAAAATACACTTCACACACACACACACACAACCATGTGACACACATTACATACACACCAGTTGAAAAGCGAGCAAAGGTGTATCAGACCCACCAATCTGATGAGAAGTCTGGTCCAGAGAAAACGTCCCCTCCCACTTGCCTTCTGAGAGAATATCTTGGCTTCCTCTGAAGTGGAAACTTATGATTTCTTTCAAGAGTCAGTTCTGTCGAATGGTGTCTTGCAGGGGCAGACACTTGAAGGAGTGTTTTCGTGACAGAGGCGAAAGGATGCTTTGCTCAAGCAAGCACATGAAATTACAAGGGACTCTTTGCTAACGACACACATGTGTTGGCTCACCCTACACTGCGTAGCTGAGCTCCACTTGTCATGACTCCATAGAGAGAAAGGCCCCCAAAACTTCTGGTGGCTTCTTGCTGCTTCAGGTTGCTTGGCAGAGTGATGGCAGCTGATACAGACTCACATGCTGAGGTGAGACCCACATGGAGGGCATGTGAAGTCTGGAGGGAGTATAAATAGGACCCAGCGGACAGTGATGGAGGGTTGTTTTCATAGCTAGCTTTACAATGCTTCGTTGGTCTCAAGTCTTCATCTTTGGTGATCTTTGCTTCATGGATAGGCTTGGGAAAAAAGTCCTGGAGTCCCCGCTGGTCTTAACTGCTCCTGCCGACTCCTTCAGCTGAGGCCTGGCTGTTTCTGCTGGGTTGTGCCACCTCTGTTGACTCCTGTTTGCTATCCCGGCACTACTGAACTAGACTGCTGATGTATTTGTGAAGTATTTGCCAGTGGATCGAGCTGCCTCTGCTGAATCCTGTGAAGTGAACTGATTTCCTGACAGTGTAGATTGGATTTGCTCCAAAGAACACTTTCTAAACAGCCCACATCCGCCATGCACTAAATAATTTTTCTCTTCCACTACCTCTGGTGGGTGGTGGGCTAGAGGAGATGAACCCTTATTAAAGTAGGTTGAGAGAAATGTATGCCTACTCTCCTCCCACTCACTCCTCAGCCCACAGCAACTGCCTCAAGCCAACAACTTCAGGAAGTCTTTCTTCAGGGCCTGTACTTGACGCTGTGGTGGGCTGGGCTGTGGGAAGGCCGCCTTCCACTGCAGCCTCGGTTCTCCTGCTTTCAGGACGGACCCGCCTGGGTTTTTCTTCTTTGGCTTCCATCTCCTCTCAAACACCGGGGTTCCTCATGCCCTGGCATTTCTGACAGGGTTTCACTATGCATCCCAGACTGCTATAGAATCCCCCCGCCTCTGCAGTGTTCTGGCTCTGGGGCCTACCCCTCTGGGCTTTCGCTTCACCTTGAGCAGCAGATTCACACCCAGTTGTGTAGGCAACAGGCCCATTTTGGACATCCCACAGACACCGGAAAAATCAACGTGCTGGGAACTGAATCCATTATCCCATCTCTCAACTTCCCCCTCACTCTCCCAGCAGGGA